TGGAGGTGCTTCCTGCGACAAACAAATTTTAACGCAATTGACAAATGTATATTTCTCCGCCGTTACGAGTTTTCGTGCACCAAATGACCCATGACGAGATGTGCGCTGTTAGGAGTTCCCCCATAACGAGATTGCCTGAGGGTATTGGCTTGTAACGAGTTCTCTCAGACCCATTTCTTCTGCCTCGTTTCTTGGAACTACAACTGCGGCGTGAAACTAACGCGGCGAACCGAACGCTTGCGGCGCATAAAATACTGACATGGCCACGGATGACGTCGAGTGCAATCAATGTATTTTGTTGTTCCTTTCATTGAAAAGTGCCCTTGTACACCTTCGGGAGCTTAAGACACGGAACAAAGATGCTTGAAGCGCGAAGAGGGTGGGGCGGGTACAGTAGGGCGGGGATTTTGGCACGCGGGCAAAAGGAGACGGAGTAATGGCATGGGGGTCTCTGAAAGGCGGGGCTAATGACGGGAGGATTTAGCGACAGAGATGCTGCACGCGGGCATTCGTGCTGCACAACATACAAAGTTCGCACTCGCAGCCAAACACGGCGAAAAAAAAACTACAGGGGACAATAGAAGAAATGGCGACGGTGTGAATCATCCTGGTTGTGCCATCCCATACAACAATGTCCTATGGTCGGCTATAGAAAATTCTTTGTATGGTCGCCTTTAGCTATTTGGCCCAATTAGCTAAAAAAAATTTCTATGGCTATCTTTAGCATTTTTTATGGTCGCATTTATGTGCCTCTTTAGCTTTGTCTATGGCCCTCGCTGTCCAGCTATAGCGCTCTTTAGCTTTTTTAATGGTTGGCTGAAACTTCTCTATGGCCTACCCTATGACTAGCCAGCAAACTCTAAACAAAAACTTTACTTCAAGCTCCCCCGGTAAACATACATACATCTCTGAACGCACAGAATACACAGAACACAAGCAGAACACTACCCCACACAACAGCTACAGCGCAGCGACACCGGACCCCCGTCCCTCTCTACATATGCTATGTTCTCACTAGGTGTATATGTGGCAGTCTAATTTTCGAATCCGACTTTGACGGTGACCCATCATTTGTAGCAAAAACACGGAGAGACGGAGCAAATATTACTCGTACTTAATACATTATTTGAATTGTCTCTTGTAATAGCCCCCATCTCTTAATTCAACACCCTGATCAAAGGAAATGTAGATCATTTTGCTCATTAACTAAAATGTATTAATTATCTTTCTAATAAGTTTGATGAATCTTGTTGACAGTGAAGTGTTGAAATCCAATGCACTGGTGGTGAACATTGCAATCAAGTTATTGATTGATTGCAGTGTAATCTATTTTCAGTTTTGGTGGAGTAATTAATTTTAATTGTTGCACTAGTATTTCATTGGATTTTTAAAGCAAACAATATTACTGGTTTTCAAGACTTGTTGCAACAGCAGAGAACATAACTTGGGTCATGCTTTGTCACCGGTATTACATAAATTTAGTATTGCTTTGATTTTCTAACCTGGAGTGTCTTTTCTATGAAAAGTAGGTGCCGGGAGTGATAAAGACCCACGAACCATGACTTGGTTATCACCGCAGACGACTAAAACGAAACTGTCTTCGGTGATATAATGCAACCACTTGAAAACATCAAGTTGCCCCAGTCAGAAAGTTCAAAAGCCCGTGTTGAGAGTTTTAGTAGATCATTTAGCAGACCGCCGCTGCCGCCGCGATCATGGAGGAGGAAGTTTTAGACTCGTTGCCATAAACTTTTCAATGGACGGGTAAAGAAAGTGTATTGGTTCCCAGTCTTTAGACGCGGGGCCATAAACTTCTCTATTGGCGGGTAAAGATTTATTACTTCCCTGTCTCTAGATTTGCGGCCATAAAATTTCCTATACGTGGGTAAAGACAATGTATTAATCCCCAGTCTATAAAATCGAGGCCATAGAATTTTCTATCAGGGGGTAAAGAAATTTTATTGGTTCCCAGTCTTTAGTCACAGGACCATATATTTTTCGATAGCTGGCTCTAGTTGTATTTATGGATTTTTATGGCCGACCATAGAAGGCCATAGGGGGTGATAGCCGGCCATTAACTTTTTCATAGACCACCATACATCATTTTTGCATGGGATACCAGGACACCCGTCTATGAGAAGTAAAGTGGTGTCCAAACAGGACATTACAAAACGCACGACTCCGGCAAATCGTGAAAATTGAAGCGGACGCGCCCGCTTCAAGCCCGCTTCAATTTTTACGATTTGTCGGAGTCGTGCGTTTTGTAGTGTCCTGTTTGGACACCCCTTAAGGGACCGAATTCGTGTATTGCATCACTCGGGGAGCTCCCGAAAGATCTAAACGAACCCCGCGGGCTTAGCCCAACCATTAGGATTTTCTTTTCCTCGGTCATGCCACACGACGGCGAGGCATGGGGGGGTGAACCCACACGGCTCAGGGTTCTGTGGTGTGACGCCACTCAACAAACACCTACCAACGGAAGTGCCCTCCACGACATTTCCGGCAGCGAGTCATGCAGCGCCTGACAATGAGCACAACGCTAGCTCGCGGTGACTCCAAGCCGTCAAGACTCTGCCGTTTGACGGCCTACTCTCGTCCAGCTTTGTCATGTTTTTCATTTCGAACGGCGTCGCGGATCCACCTACGATGACGTCATGCGCAGGCCACGTCTTTTACAGGGTGTTCCCGAGCGCCATTTGGTGCGTCAACAAATTCGTTATTATAAACCAATGATCCAAGGACATCAAAACTTTTGAAAAAAGATGTCTCCAGGTGGTGCATGCATCATAGTCAAAGTTCATGAGTTTGGGTTTCTGGATACAAATGTAAGCCTAAAGATGTTTTATCTTAATGTACATAGAATAATACAGCTAAAACCGTCTAGTGGACGCTGTTCGTTCACAGATGGCACACTATGAACCAAAAACGTGGAAGCTTATTTGTGATGCACACCCGCACGCAGATACATTAGATCCGAGCGAGGGTGGTACAACGATATTGGTCTATGCGGAAGTTTCCAGAGAAATGCCGATGCTTTTGGGAGAGACTTGGCAGGCACCGCGATATATGTATCAATGAATTTATGTACGCACTGTTGCATTGTGTCACGCCTCAAGGAAGAGATTCAGTAGGCGTTCTTGTAAACAGGGGGCTGTGCCCGGTCATGCGCACTTCCACTGACCCTTACCTATGAAAAGAAGCATTCATTAGCGGAAGAGAGCGAAGCTTATACACATACACTTCCGTTACCCCCTGCATACATGAAGTAAAGACCGCCTCGTCACGGTCGAGCGAGGTTGACAAACCCATTCGCTCACAATCGCTCAAATGCAGCAAACCGAATCGGAGCTGCTTGCGGTTTTATCTACCAACGGTGATTTGAGCCACACATATAAAAACCTTCCATATCGCGCTTGTATTGGCTACGGCTGGGATAGATTGTTTGCCGATTCAATTTTAACTCAGCTGATATAGACATTATGCAGTTCCTTTCAACTCAGCTCCAAGCGTGGCCAAAGCTATGGGTGGCCGCGGCCAGTCAAACGCCGGCGATAGGACGCGACTGCGCCCACACTTCGTATATCACTCCGAGCGGATTATGCGCAGAGGTGCAGAGGAGTCGAAGAGAGACATTTCGTCTCCCACGGAACTATCGACGGCATCATCTGCTACATAATTAAACATGCCATTTCGCGTCATGGAATAAAACTCCGGTTCACTAAGGTGGCTGCTGGGCTTTGCGGAGGGCCGTCGCACTGCCGGGAGAGGAAGGCCGTGGCTGGAACACGGAAGTTGGTAAAGTTCGGTGACCAGACGGGTCTTCTCTGCCGCGGTGCCGTCCGGAGCCCACGGAAAAAGCGGGTTGAGAGAGCAGTTTGGGTGGACTACCGCCCTGTCTCCGATTTTTAACAAAGCAGCGCGCTCTCTCCACAAACGCATAACATCAACAAAAGCATACCGCGTCCCTCCGGTCGCACTGGAGTACGCGTCTCCTCGGCGCTCCACCGACACCGCATGACTTTGCCTCTCACCGCCGCCTTGACACCAGATTTTGACCCATTTTTCATCGAGGAGCGTTTCCCGCCGTCGGTGTGCCAACTTTTCGTCGATTTTCAAGCATCTGCTAGCTCCGATGTTCGTTGAACAACTGCGCGGTACGGCGCGGTTTGGGATTCATTACGAAGAAGGCTACCCATTCATTACGATCTCGCGCCTGACGCCCAAAACGTGCCTTTCTTCTTATCTTGCGTTGTCGGTGGAAATTAGGAAAAGAGAAAAACAAGGGTTGTCCAGCAACTTGGCGAGGAAAGCGTTGAGCATGAAGCCCACGATTCTGCCGTTCAGAACGCTAATGAAACCGAAAAAAAACGTATAGTAATCGCTTTAGAGTTGCCAGCAAGTAGACGTTTTTTGTCCAAGCACATTCATTGCTAATCTATAAAGAACGCGGAACGTAATTTATTTAATTTATTTTTCATAATTAGATCTTAGCAAGACACAACTGGCAAATTGTCCAATGTTTGAGCAGGAACAAAATATTTATAAAATTTTACTTTCGTGATCTGCTTCGTGATGCTTACGAACGCTCTTTTCCAAGTCGTGAACCGTCCCCCTGAAACGAAACATAGTACCTGCTTCGCACCGATGCCATTGGGAAAAGCCACCCTTGGTTGACTGTGTCGGTGCATTTAGGAGATTGTAACCAAGATCTGTTAAAAAAATGTACCTTTTTTTTATTATTTAGCTCGATATTCATGTTTCAGATATCGGCCTGAAGCACGTTTTGAAATATTTTAGCTGACGGCGTATTTAAACAAATCGGACGGTTTTGTATTGTGCTATAGATAAATTTACTGCCTGGCTTCATGCGTGATACAGAACACAAACAGAAAACAACAAAAAGAAAACACTAGGGGGCGCCTTGTGCTGCGGACTGCGTGGAGGAAGAGAGAGTTTCTACGGGCCTCAGCTAGCCTCCGAATCATTTTATTCATTCGGCGCGCCAGGTTCGCCGGGTAGATTTGAGAGTCCTTGGTGTTTTCGGATTCCTTTGAACTCGGGTAACCTCGCACGTGACATCCGGTAAGCAATTTTGTTTGAGTTGTTCCTGGTAAAGAATTTCATTTCTTATTTTCTTTAAGGATCTAGAAGGACCGTCCCGCTCCACATATTTTGCCAGCGCCAACTGGACTGTTCAACTCGGCTAAAAAATTCAATTCAGTATTCCTCCTTAAAAAAAAAACATATGCACACACGCGACCTCTATACTATACTGCAATATAAAAGAACACTTTAACATGCAGGTATTTTGTTTTAAATTAAGACCACAGATATCAGTATGATGTTTTGCCATTGTTGTATAAGATTTTTTATCCACTCAGACGGCACAAAAATGGCTACGTAATCTTCCACTTGTTTTTAAAAATGTTTCAATTATCAATTTTTTATTTTAGAAAAAATCTGGCACCCAACCTTGATGTTTTGAGCGTGTTTTATTTGAGGTATACGTGTATAGAATATCCAAGGTTGTGTGGAACTGTTTAAAATTGCGAAGTCTGCTGATAGAACTCCTCAATTTTCAGATGTTCTTTAAATTTGTTCTTTGTATGTTATTTTGAAAACTAAGCGGTATGAGTGTATCTTACTTAGTTTTTCTTCAGTAAACATAATAAGCAAATTGGGATGTTTCTTGTATTTGGCTTGGTGGAAGGTTATGTTAAAGCTGCCTAAATTCTAGCGGTGTCTGACCACTTGGTTCCAAGCGCAAACCTGGACACAAGAGTCCCATATTATTTTAGAGACTTTTTTCACATCGCTAGTCTGGTAATTACTTGTACTTAATGCAAATATAAAAAATACAAACAGAAATGCCTTTCAGGAGACTTGCATGTGATATTTTATAAGTTTAACTTTGATCGAATAAAAGATTGTGCCATTGAGTGGTTTGCAACGAAAGATGTTATTCCAGGTAGCACGTTAGAAAAACTATTAACTTGGTGCAAGCTGGGCATCCCTAGGGCATAACCTAAACCTAATACCATGTTTCCCCAATGCGCAAGTTAGCGCTTGAGTGCCTGTCTTTGGGGTTTCTACGAATTTTTTTTTGGCTGTACATATAAATCTCAAAATGGAAGGCTTGACTCAGAAATGCCACGTACAAACCAAAGAAGAGGTTGCAGAGCCCAAATCTGCCACCTTTTGTCAATTTAGGCCTAAAGTTGACGCGTGAAAATACAGAAACAGGAAGTGAAGCCTAACCTTGGCACTTGTTTCGCAATTTAGGCCCAAAGACGCCAGGTGACAGCCAACCACAGGCAGTGAAACCACACTTTGGCAGTATAACGGATTAGGGCCAAGATGCCGAGACCCTGGCAAAAGAAGGTTAAGCTTGGTTCTACCTGGGATTCCTTGTGCTTTCTAAAACCTTAATTTCCCAGACAAGCACCAAAGTTTGAATCAAGGAAACTGTGCCACCTACGACTACAAATCCTTTCACTTCATCTAATTGTATTCAGGCTTATCTAATTAAAAAAAAAAAAAAAAAAACATTCTGGTGTCTTTAGAAGTAGGAACCAAAATGATTGTTTTAGAAATGATTTGGATGCTATGGAACTCACAGCAGAATAAATACAACATTTTTCATTTGTATCAGAACGGTAGATTACAATAGTTTCTCGTGAAATTAGGGCAATAGTTCAAGAGAAGAGTAACCAAATATTAACACTTATTTAAGCTACCTGCATCTTGTGTACTTTCCGTATATATGCATTCAACCTGTCTCACTTTGCGGCGTTGCCCGTTCGCTCCTTGAAACTCTTTGTTCTCAGCAGAGCACGGTGATAGTAAAATATTAAATAAATCACGTTCATTACAACTATTATATAATTATATTTAGCAGAAATCCGCATCTGTCAATGTTATCTGTCATACCTGTTTATATTTCTAACTTTATTGTGACAAAAGCAGTACCTGGGACGAGCACTAGCAAGTTACCCCGTGGATAACTCTATGCTCGAATATGACTGCATCAGCTCATACTTGAAGGTAGAGATGAGCTGTTCTAATTAGTGTAGATTTTTTATTCATTTCCAGAACTACCTGTTTGTTAAACTCTTAGAAAACTGAATAGAAAATAAAAATAATAATTGGGTTCGAAATCTACAAAAAAAGACAGAACTCGTTTTCGCTATGAGCCGCAACTCTAAGCCTCCCTTTCGACCTTCAACAATATCTTTTCGCGCTATTCAACTTTTCTTCGGCCACTTCGCTTTACGCACACATATGTCGTCGCCCGCTGCACGGCTGCGTTATTTGCGAAGAAAAGAATCAGTCTCAAAAATAAAATCTACAACAAAGCCTGTAAGGTAATGCGTTCAGACAAAGACAGGACGAAGGCACGCACTACAGTGTATGTTTTCCAACCAAATATGGAATGTGTGGTCATAAACCGGAAATCGAAATGCTAGATGCTTGTCACGTTCTTGGAGTGACAACGGGGTGAAGATAAAGAAAAGGAGAAGGGCGAGCTGAAGGCAAGCGGAGGGCACGAGGTGTGTGTCTCGAGCGGGGACAAGCGAACGACTGTGGCGGACAGCGCTCCCGGCAGCCCAGGCTACGCTCCTGATAAACCCTGGCCTCGTCCCAGGAAAGGCAACCCCGTCGAGACGGAGTGACTCCCGCCTGCTCAGGCTACGCTCCTGAGAAATCGTGGCCCCATCCCAGGAAGGGCAACACCGTCGAACAGGAGCGGCATCCGATCTCTGACCACCATTCCTTGCTGCACTCCTAAGAAACCCTGGCCTCGCCCCAGCAACACCATCAAGTCTGACGGCCGGCCGGTTGCCGTTTGTGCCTCCCAAGCTTGCCGGGCTCAAGGATTTCACCCTGGAAACCGTGGCTCCGACACAAGCGAAAAAGGGTCGGCTTCGCATCCATCGTTACTCGGAAACTGTGATGAACTTCAGGTCCCGATAGAATCTGAACAGATTCTAGCGAATTCGTTCAGATTCGCTAGATAAGCTGGTCTTATTGAACGTTCTGTCTCGGCGGGTATCCAAACTTTCTGACGTTGGACATCTTACCTCGTATACGCAGGTCCTGGGCGACGTTAGGGGCCCAAGTGGTAAATGTCTCTTAATATTTGTTTACTTAGTGCAACACATTTGAAGCTTATGAACGCACCATGGTGAAGCACAAAAACTAAAAAAAAAAAAAAACATATGATGTTGCTAGCGAGAGGTTATGTTTATTTTTTTTTTCTTCTTTGGTAACACGCGAAAACAGAAACAGTCAAACAGACTACGACGAATGGAGCATTAAGCACGGCATGAAGTTCGTGCCTTCTAGAAAGGGGACAGTCTCTGATAACCCATTTTTCGGACACTCATACATCGGTCAATCTAGAGATACTTAAACATCAGACTTCGCGAACATCACAGTTTGGTAAAAGGTGAAGCATACTCCAATTTATCAAACCTTTGCAGTGACTGGGGCTGTGAACCACGGTTCAGAGACACAAATATATTGTACAGACACGAACTCCAGTTGTCTAGGGAGATAATTGAGTTCTACCTTATAGCAAAAAAGAAAACTACAACATCCGAAAGCAAACCATCTGTGAACATCAGGGACAGTATTTTTTTTGTCGTTATAGAACTTTTCCTTCAAAGAAACGAGAAAGAAGCGACCCTACAGTGAAAGAAAAAGAAGACCCTATACCCGCGTGTTTTTCAATTTAAGAAAGTTGATAGCCAGCGCCTTCTCCTGTGTGTAATTCTTTCCTTTGTGTGCGTGTGTGTTTTTCTCGCTGTTTTTCATCATCATGTCTCTATCTTCACAGTCGTTTACTTTTTATAGTTCGCGAATGAAACTTTAATAGTTGCGAATCACTAGCTTCAGAGGCTTAGAATTGTCCATGCCTGGCGATGGCTACTTATCTTGGCTTTTATAGCTCACCATAAAATATTACATATTGTCGTGGCGCAGAGCAGGATGTTTCAGACATGACTATAGGCGATTTTTATTTGGGAATGGCCATGGTATTAAATCAATGATTGGTTACTACTGCGATACGAGAAAAAAAAACGGATGCACTATAAGCAGGTGCGAGCGAACGTTACATGCTGTAGATCGAGTAACGCGTTGCCATTAAAAATTCCGTTTGATTCCCCGATCACGATAATAAGTGTCGAAAGTTACAAATGTGTCGAAAGACGAAAGACAAATATGATGTAAGACGGCACACTCACTGCTCTTGTTTATGCGGAAATAATGCGATGGCTAGACAGGCCCCATCGGCTTTTCTTGTCATCATTATACCGGTGCAAAGTTTAATTGATTTAACTTAGATGTATATTGTTCATATATTCAGAGCCATATATGAGTTACTTCCAAAACCTACTACTTTGTTTCCTGGCTCAAATTTGTTCTTGTCCTGTTTTCGGTGCTTTTAATTTTTTAAATAACTAGCTCAATTATCCACTTTACTGCAGTAAGCTCCGCCCATCGTGGTTCTGGAAAAATCCCCATGTGCGAGAAGGTCGACTTTCGCTTCCAGCAAGCTGCGTGACCAGAAAAAAACACACAGGCACCTGTGAACCTGAAAGTTACTGCATCGCACAACAGGGAAACCGACCTAGCGACTTTACCATGAGAGTGAACAAATGTAAGTCGTTCCTTTGAAGAATGTTTTGCACTTGAAAAATTTTGCTAATGACTAGTTTTTGCTTAACACAATTTGTAAATATATGTGTGAACTTCCAGTGTTGAATTAAATTCAATATTTAGAGTTTTTGCAATAGAAGGTGCGGAAAAAAAGGTCTTAAACAGCTGAACAGGTTTCCCGTACCGCGAAGTCTCAACCGCGGCGGCAGAGTGTTTAAGAACAATCGTTATAAATACAATAGAATAGCTTAACACTATCAAATATACAAAACTAGCTAAACAAACAAAAGAAATAAAAGAAAACGAAAGGACGTAGGTATTCTGAATAATATTTGGTTCGACATGAAGTAATAGTGCACTTGTATTAGCGCTTTATCTTTATGTAGGTTCCTTGGGGTGAATATGTTTAACAGCTATTGGAAAATTCTCTGACCCTCTAAAGGCCGTAATTGGTACGATACCGGTCACAAGCCAGAGTTCCCAGTGGTGCGTTTAATAACTTAAACTCTTGTTTTGCAATGACACCAGAAAAAAAATAGTTTCTATTTCCCTTACATTTTATCGCACATTTTGTGCATAATATAAGGTTATAAAATATATAAAATACTTGTGACATTTGATTTGTGAAACAAAGCTTTTGCGTGAAAATCATAGCCAACATTACACGTAACTTTGAAGGCTCCTCTTTAAAGAAGGTACATTTTCTGAAAGTTTCGTTTTGTGGTTATCCCTCACATTAAATGGCAATATTTCCTTTGAGCACAAAATAATGATTGGTACAAAAGGCACTTGATACTGGTGGAAGTACATGTCTAAATGCATAAACATTAAACCGATTACACTACTTAGCTCTCAATTCATAATTTGCGCCGAACAAGTGAGGTAAAGGAGGTGACGATAGAGCAAAGGGACGTCAGAACGCCGACTTCTTGTTTGAACAATGAGTGGCTAGAGCGAAAGCAAGCAGCTCTGTCTCCACTGCACTCATCGAACGCTTTAGAACGTGGAACGCCGTCTTTGTGCGGTTCGCTTTCGCCTGCGAACGTGTTCAATGAGTGCAGTGGAGGCAAAGGCATACGTTGACTCCACTACACTCGTCGAACGAGTTAAAACACAGAACGCAGAAGTCTTGTGTTCGGCTCTCGCATTCAAAATCCGTTCTACTTGCGCAGTGGAGACAGATGCAGCTAGCTTTATGTCTAGCAACGAATCTTTCAAACAAGAGCTTGGCGCCTTGACGTTTCCGCACGCTCTCGTCTCCTTCTAGCCCTTAAGTCCAGCGCGCGTAGACATGACTTTCTCACGACACGTCTTTGAAAAAAATGCACTCCCAATTTTTTAATCATTTTAGTAACCTCAATTAGAGATCAATACATATTAATAGTAGCAAGAATTTCAAAAATATTTTTTTAAAGTTTAAGGCAAGAAGTTATTTTTTATGTTGGTTTTTAGAAGGCGTTTTGTTAGCCCAGGATATAAACTAAATTAGTATGTTATTTGCTATTGTGGCTAGTTAATTACCAGTTCATGCAGATTTAAAAATTCTTGTCATCAGCGTGAATGGAAAAGTTTGCTTCGTTGCTAATATTTACTACGTCATTGATACATATATTCTTAAAAAATTGGCCTAAAGTGCGTCATGAGCATCGGATGCCAAATATATTAAACGGGACGAATACGAATAAGGTTTACATATTTGTTTTGGTGACTTAAGCAGCTCTTTAGTGTGGAGAGTGCCAAGTGTAAGACTGCCTCTGACGCCATATATTTCATGTTTCTGCAAAAGTAGTTGATGGTGCCCGAGTGGACGAATTCGTCTTAGCTCGGAGCGTGGAGCGAAAGCGTTCGCTGCAGGACCTCCTCGGCTCGATTCCCATGCCCTACCCTATTAGATATGGGTGAGCGTCCTGCCGGCACGCGTTCTTGTAATCACTGCTGCGTGGTACTCGTTAAAGACGTCAGGTTATCGGTTGTGTTGCACTCGTTAAATGTTTCTTCTACAGCTAAGAGACAAGCCATCCGTGGAGGAGTACTTACTTAGAGGATGTCTAAACATAAACGAAACGTAATTTTCGAAGTAGGTTATGATTCAGGTAATCGAATGTATTTATGAAAGCAACATATATTCCAGGAACCGAATTGTTATGCTTACAATTGTCCAGTATAGGTTTTTGAGCAAGTAATGGTAACTCAGTAGATCGATTGTTTTTATAAACAATATTGTGTTATAGTAAAAATGATATTTGTTTATGTAAAATTATAACTCGACTTTTGATAATGGTTTCAGGTCTCTTTGAAAAGATTGAAAAAATACGTATGTGTCTCTAATTTTCCAAGTCGTTTGGTAGCCATTTGTATGTAAAACTGTTACATTAGCCGTTTGGATTCTCCGAGAAAATATCGCAGTTTCTAAGCAAAGATGAAAGATATGCACAAGGCAAGAATATATGATGTCGAGGCCATGCTTGACTGGTATAATCTGAATTGCCTCGGGGTCACAACCTTTTTTCTTTCTTGCTTTAAGAACTACAGAGGCAACTTCATCTTCAGGAGGCGGGCTCAAGAAAATTGTGCTCTGGTTCAGTTAGATTTTGCTTTCAAACATTAGTTCTATGCTGCTCTACTACTAGGTTTAAAAGAAGTAACTAAAAAGTATTTTGAAAAAAAAAATCAGGTAATTCAATTCAAGTCATGTCGATAGGGTGGACTGTACGTTGAGGCTGTACTCATGAGTTATGCGGTTTGCACATAATATTGATGCGGTAAGACGCCGTAGTAAAGAGAAACTAAAACCACACCGTTTCCTTGCATTTTTACCAAAACAATTTCTCTAGGGTTTGAAGAACTAAATAACTTTATATAATTTACACCGTTTTTCTTAAATAGCTTCTTGTAATGGGGACATTCGCTTTGTTTTTCCAGCAACTTTTCGAAAATCTCTGGGTTTCAAATTGTTTTTTTTTTCTTCGAAATCTGAAGGGAAAATGTTTTTCATGAAGAATTTTTAAATGTATTCATGAATAGATCAAATATTTGTTTTAGCTAGTTTTGATTAGTACGATATTGTGGCAGCTTTTTCGCAATGCTATGATATGTAAACAGAATTGTAGCTAAGTTATCACAGATGTCACAACAAATGATTACACCAGACTTCTTTTTCGTCTCAGGATATAAACTTTATACCAATCTGCCTCTTGTCCTGCCGTTTAAATTAACCAGCGCTATTTGCGCTCTCATTTAAGGTTGTAGTGATATTCATGTGATGTGTTAAAAAGCAATGACTCATCGCTTTTTAATTTTTCAATCACACTGCAAAAAGATTAGAACAAATTGTCGGCTACGAGTTTCAAGATCATCCATTCGGACATCTGTTTTTTTTTTTTGTTTTTTTTTTTCTCACTACTTTAAGATAAGCTGTCAGTTGTTTCTCAAAATTTCTCCTGCTTGGTTTCGCTGTTTTAGGGAGGCATAGTAACACTGATCGTGCCGACTGTTATTGTTTCAACGATACACTGTATTTTTTTTATCTGCTTGTCTTTCGGAGGACCTGCGTACGAGTTCGATGTCACCAGACAACAGTAGTAGGCATTGTAGATGCAAAAATTCCTTCCATTAAAGAACAATTAGTGCTTGTGGCACGACAAGAATGCTGGTGTTTGTCAAGTGCACGTGCAATTAAAACAGACCGTTGGGTTGAGCCGACAGGACAAGACACACTCTACAGGGTGTTTTAAATAGCGGCCAGGCTCTTTAATTCGACCGAGAAAATCGGTTTCTTAACCTATCGGGCTACGATTTTGTGGAGCGTTGCCCACGGGTGGTGCATTTTGTTTTCTATAAAATTTTCAAAGAGTAAGCTCACCGGAGGAAAGAGTGAAACTAGAAAAATGCCCAAATTTACGTGAAAAGCAGCGAAAGCCACTGTTTTTCAAACAATAGGGCACCATTTGGCACTGCGGACAAGAGATGGCGCAAGCGGTTGCGACGCCATTTGCCGCCAACGAACGAGGACACGGCGCCGAGAGCCGGCGTCAAATAGCAGACGATAGTTTCGACTCAAAAGCGGATCGAGCTTTTTCATTGTCAGTTGCCAATACATAATCTTATCAGCGTTTAATAAAGCACATTAAATGGACATATAATCGATTAAAAAGTGGTTTGTCGGGTTATTTTGACGGTTTTGTTTCGGGGTACTTATGTGGTCTGCTTTGCATCACGATAAAGCGTATGCTGCGACTGCGTCTTCCCGAGTTCTCGCCACGTGCGGATCGCGCGCCGCTTTTGAGTAGAAAAGGTCGCCTGCTAAGGACGCCGGCTCTCGGCGCCGTATGCTCGTTCGTTGGCAGCAGTTATCGTCACGACCGATTGCGCCATCTCTTGTCTCCTGTGACACACTGCGCCCTACTGTTTGAAGACCGGTGGCTTCGCTGCATTTACATAGGAGTTAAAAGTTCTTTATTTTTTACTTTTCCCTCAGATAAGTCCGCTCTTTACATCTTTTATATAAAAAAGTGCACCACCAGTGGGCAACGCTGCACACTTCGGACCTCGATAACTTAATAAACCGACTGTTGCGGCCTATTTAAAAAGCCTGGCTGCTATTTGAGGCACCCTGTAGAAAGGTAGCAAGTGTAACGGGTTCTAGCCAGCAGACGAATAAATAAAACTGGATGAGCGCATGCATGGATTTCTGCCGGCTGCGAGACACGGAGGCTGTGGTCCATGGTCCGGATCATATCACGTGACAGCACAGATTGAAAAACGCTGGTCGCGGGTAGGTTTTAGAACGCCAAGGGTACAAAACTCTTACCCTGGAGTAAGATCTAGTAAATTTTGGAACACGGCCGGAGTGGTAGTGACAAGAGTCGTCCTATATTGATCGAGGGAGTTTGGTTATTGCTTTCGCGATAGCGAGCAACGATATGTTAGGGCTGTCTAGGGTGAATTAAACCTGTTCAAGTACAGTCGTCTCTATCCAATTATGATGCTAAGGCAATGCCGCGTACTATTATTCCTCTTTAGCCGTGTCTTTTATATTTGCATTCTGTTACCAAACTACGTAATAATGCATAGGGCGTGAAGTTAAACATAACTTTAAGTACTTCTACTAATCGTTCAAGTTCTTAGATTTGCCACACAGGTTTGGTTTCATTACCATTATTCACAGTAATTTTTGGGGATGGAAACGTTCATGCTTATTGTCTGTTATTATTTTCATATTTCTGCGACCGAGTTTTTTTTTTTTTTTAGACGTAATAGCATTAACGCCAGTTAAGATCTGCTTTGCAATGTTGGGACTTCACTTCCTGTGCTACATTCACACTATAGCCTTCACCGCAAGCTTTTATACACCAAACAAAAAATTACTGCGCGTTCACCTCATGATTTGACTAAATTTGTCCACATCTGCATGCTGGAGTTGATCACTGTCTATTGAACGTATGTGACTAGTGGAAGGTTAATTCATTTTGTGTGTCGGAATGAAGTGGAGTCTTCTACTTACTTACTTGCGTAGCTTTATTATTTTAAAGTCAATATCTCGCCTTAAAGAAGACGGACTAACAAGGGTCTAGAACGATGGCTAAGTAAACATAAACCTCACATTCATACCTAATCTTGCAGTGGCAGGAGAATCTAAGTATTCAGAGGTGCATAGTTTCTATCAAGACGAAGTAATTTTCATCACTGGCGCCACTGGATTCCTCGGAAAGGTGCGTACATCTACTCCCATGACTTAGCTTGTGGGAGCCACTGGTTTCCCTCCCTCGAGAAGGCGTAAGCCGAGGCCGTTCCGGGCGAAGCCGGCTGACTTCGAGCCCGGTCGCTCCGTATCGTGTCGGAGAGACTACGCCACCATGCTGGCTTACTCTCTCGCACTCCTCCGCGCGTCTCCTCCGATTTCGGGGGAACAGCGATATCGCGCGAGGGAGAGTCGGGCCTACCCTCCGAGTGGACGGCCGTGTGGTCAGGGAGTCCTGGATTGGACTCCGGGCAATGGGTCGAGTCACGGCGCGAGCTCGCCCGACCGGCGATGACTCCGCTCGCAATTACCCCTTTGGCTCTCAGGTCCGCGGGCGATGCGGGCACACTGTGCCCGCGGCGGCTCGCTTGACCGCAGTGTCTCGTTGGGGACCCCTGGTACTCAATAAACGCTGCTGGATACCGGGATCATCGTTGTTGGCATGGCGTCGGCCGAACCCGGCGCGGCGACCGCCCTCGCTGGTAGCCGTCGGCCGCGCGGTGGGACGGGCATCGGATTTCCCCATTGAGCACCGGACCGGTCCCCGGACGTGAAAGGTGCGTAACCCTCCCTCCTTTAATTTACCACAAAATGGCGCCCCACGTTGGCCGCCATTTTGTGGGAACTAAAAAGGAGGGAGGATCACGCACCTTTACGTCCGGAGATCGGTCCGGTGCTCAAAGGGGGAAATCCGCTGCCCGTCCCACCGCGCGGCCGACGGCTACCAGCGAGGGCGGTCGCCGCGCCGGGTTCGGCCAACGCCATGCCAACAACGATGATCCCGGTATCCAGCAGCGTTTATTGAGTACCAGGGGTCCCCAACAAGACACTGCGGTCAAGCGAGCCGTGGACACCGTGTGCCCGCATCGCCCGCCGACCTGAGAGCCGAACGGGTAATTGCGAGCGGAGTCATCGCCGGTCGGGCGAGCTCACGCCGCTACCCGTCGTTGCAGGAGTTCGGGGCCAGGGCTCTCGGCAGACGGACGTCCACAGGTTGTGGGGACGCCGACTGTCAGAGCCAGGGGAATCGCTAGTGTGGAGTCATCGCCGGTCGGGCGAGCTCGCGCCGTGACTCGACCCATTGCCCGGAGTCCAATCCAGGACTCCCTGACCACACGGCCGTCCACTCGGAGGGTAGGCCCGACTCTCCCTCGCGTGATATCGCTGTTCCCCCGAAATCGGGGGAGACGCGCGCAGGAGTGCGAGAGAGTAAGCCAGCATGGTGGCGTAATCTCTCCAACACGATACGGAGCGACCGGGCTCGAAGTCAGCCGGCTTCGCCCGGAACGGCCTCGGCTTACGCCTTCTCGGGGGAGGGAAACCAGTGGCTCCCACAATCTGTACGCATAAAAAATATGTTATTTTAGCTGGTTACCTTTGTTAGGGAAAATACCTTGAGTGTGACATTTAGCGCAAAGAAATAAATGCAACAGGGTTATTAGATAGTGTTTTTTTATATTTTAACTTATTCGCACTCAACTAAACCATGTTTTATTACAAAATAATCATCCAAGGCTCCAAGAGTGAACGCTGAAATTATTACTTGACGTCCTCGTTTAAATTAAGTTGCGTTTATTGTCTTCCACTAAATTCGTGGCTGCAGAGTACGGCACCTTATTATTAAAAGCACTATAGCGTGTGGGTTTTACTCAATACTCTTTCAGATCGTGTAAAAATCATACATCTAGTCACAAATAAAATTTGATGTGGCGAGACACGACTTTAGGGTGAAAGCCAGTAAATCCCTTCAAGTGCGTGGTGTAAACACTTGATCTTAAACCGTTCCATTACTGTAAACTGTAAATTAATAGCTTTGTTTTACAAGTGTTTTTTCAGTGATGTTTTTTTTTTCGTAAATAAATTGCCTCATGCTTGTTTTGTCCTGTTTTAAAACGTGTTGGTGTATACGTTAACCTTCCACATTACGCGAGTTATACACCGTATTTTCCGGCCTCTAGTCCCCCACCAGACATGTTTAGTAGCCGAAATATTACGTGTTACGCTCTATCTACAAGTGCGGACCATGCGAGGATTTCTGTTTTCATGGTTGTTCATTAAGACGAGATGTAACAAATTTTGTCAAGTGTACATTTTTTTTTAAATTACAATCTCTGATGACGCAATATTTCCTCAGTGCTAGAAAGAATACATCTAACGTGTGCTCTGTATAACAATGGGTTTAAGTAAAAAGTTTGCAGCAGGTGCGAATATGCCCATAGCGCAATTTATGAACCGGATTCGGACTCTCAATGACAAATCATTTTTCTAACTGTCGTACTGTTGTGTACGTTTGAGTTGTGAATTAGGTGGAACGAGAACAAACTAAGATCACATTTATCCTGCTGTAACTAATCTGTCATGTACCAGACCGAAAGTGAGAGCAGATTGTGCAGCGTTTTGTTTCATTCTTGCAGCAAAGCGAGCACCACATGGTGCTAGTATCCAACTCGGTCTATAAAATACCTAAGATTTATATTGCATAGAATTTTCGCTGTCAGTAATACCACCGAAAATCCAATCTATGAAAGGGGATTTTTGTTAGTGCGTTTAGAGGATGCTTACAGTTTTTTATCACATCACGATCAAGTTCAAAAGAAACAATAAAATACTCGAAGAAAGTGGCGAGGCTTAAAGTATACTAACTGCAGTAGCACCTGTATTTCAAAAAGTTTCCCGTGTTACGGTTAAATATTAATTTACATTTCGACTCTCCAACGTAATGTTTCCTCTAACTTACGTGATATTTTTCTTTGAATAATGGCCTCCATTTTATATCTTTATTGTGGTAAAAATCTAGTAGGATTCTGTATTACTTTTGTAAATGGTTCTTTCCAGGCACTTCTTGAAAAATTGCTGCGATCATGCCCAGGCATCAGGCGAATTTACATATTGATTCGCCCGAAAAAGAATGCGAGTCCAACAGGAAGGCTGGAAGCTCTTTTAAAGTCAGAGGTGAGGAATATAACTATCTGGAATCAGTACGTGTTTTCTAAACTTACGCGACGGTAATTTTTTTTTTGGGGGGGGAGGGGGTTTGAAACACGGTTTAATTAGTCGCTGGATTGTACAGCTTCAATAAATAACCACATATCCGTCGCCGATAAAAAAAAATTGTTTTCATAGTATTCTGGAACGTGGGATGTTGAAGTATTTGTTATATCATGAGAAAAATATTCTTTTACTCGTGCCCAATATAGTTTGCCAATAAAGGTTGCTATCGTCCCCTCCTAATATATACAGTAAACGAGTTTGGCCTCAAATTATTAAGCGAGGGCAAGCTAATATGTTCTACGTTTATATATAATGTGTTTTCATTTTAGTAATGACAGATACGATATAAAAGAGCCGTAAAAGCTTGACTAATGCGGTCTGTGTGGGTGATCTATACGGCCAATGGGACATATTATAGGGTCTAACCGTTATCGGTAAAATAACTAACTAGATTGTGTTAATTAGGAAAGATGAACATATAATTTCAAGTCCCAATTTACAAAAACGTCATCGAAAACCAGTAAAATAGTTATCTTGAGATTCGAAACGTGTGGGAAGCACTGTAGTTTGCTAAAGTTACCACTTATTCAACAGGTGCAAAGCTGGAGGACAGAAGAGACGAATAACGAAAAAGGAAAAAAAACAGTCGGCGTTTTTTTTTTCGTACCGGTAGCCTCGCGTCTGTTAACCGACAGGTAACTTAAAATCTTTATAATTTTGACAGATTTAGTAGTTTTTGAATACGCGTACCATGCTTGTAATTTGATTGAATTCGTATTTTTATTCTAACTTAAAAGTACATTAGCCTATCGCAACGGCTTTCCGCTTTTATTATTCCCTGGCTGTATAGCTCACCTATACACCAACTAAACTCTTTTACGCCACGCCGTGGTGGCGGCGCGTCGGGCGCACTTCCTGTCTAGGGTTTTGGGCGGAAGTCACGATGCGAGACTTGCATTCTTGTGTTGTTTTTGAAAGAAACGAGACAAGACCTGCCTTCTCGTTCAAGCTCCGCGACTGGGGCTCTACCAAAAGAGTCAGGAAAGGTTTGAATACCAGCTTTCATGCGTTTCTTGCCAACTCGGTTCGTCCAAAAACAAAAATAAGTGCCGTAAAAAAAAAAAAAAAAGAAACAGACGCCGTTGGACCACGATTGCATGTGTGGAAAGCAATTTGGGTTAAGTTCACGGAGAATTATTGTGGTCAGATATATTTTTTTTCTTCCAACGTGATGGCTAGAAACCCTCCAAGTTGTCTGGACCACCCGCGGACTACGTTCAGTGCGTTTTTAAGTTCAAACGGCCGCTTGATCGTTCGAACTGCCGTCTGCTCTTTCAAAGATCTATGCTTTTGCCGTCTGCTCGTTGGAACGACAGCGGGCCGTAAGCCAAAAGTTGACCATGTATTTTCGATATGAAGTAAGCGCAGGCCTCTAAAGACTTATAAGTTTCACTGTTGTTGAGGTAAGTAGGCTAGGCGTAATCAGTAGATACAACGATGCGTTGATCAATGTTACCAGTGGCCATCACCGACTTATGTCTGATTCACTTTGTCCGATTCTGCTAGCAATTTTCAGTAATGATGCCGAGCATCGCAGCTACCGTCCACGATTTTGCAGCCCAAACTACGTCGCGACTGAAAATAGCGAGCAAAATATCATCATGCTTTGAGCGTCTACTCTGCGGCGTTGAAATGTAGTTTCTCCGGTACTGCGAACGTGTCTTCATGCGCCACACTAGGATATTTTCTCCCGTTTTTGTTCCTTTCAATATTTGTTAGGGATATTTCGGGTGGAATACCAGCCTTGCTAATACTGTTGGCAGATGCGTTAGCTGTCGAGAAAAAGGAAACGTTTGCGGACTTGAAATTGTTCAACTCCTTGTTCAAAAATTAATTTTGACTCTTTTATATATCCAGTGAAGATGGTAATTGAGTATGTAAAAAAAACATATTATCGTATGTAAAATAAAGGTTGCTAAGGTTGAAACCTGGGCGAGTTGGTGTGACATACTTAAAAGGTTAAAACAGCGGAAAATACAACGGACAGGGTAAAGAAGGACACAAACAGAGCGCTGACTCGCAACTAAATTTTTATTGAACTCAACGGTGCAATATAAACGCACAATTGAGAACAAAAAGAAGAAAATCAGCCTGGAAAACACCCAAAAGCAAAAGCACAAAAACGAAGCATCACCTCAAAAAAGATTTTCCCTTAGCCTGCCGTCAACGACAGGCTAAGGGAACATGCCTACAACGTCTCTTCAACGGTTTCCGGTCACCTCGGCATGCATTGCCGTGACTGCAGATGCCAGCCTCAGTTCCAACTGTGCCACCGGTACCAGCTGACACGAGAAATTTTGGAGGCTCCAGAAACAGACAGATTGGGAGTCATGTGTGTCAGCAGGCCTTCTGTTGCATTATCTAGGAAGGAGATTGATTTTCTGGCAACTTGATTAGCTTGGTTTATCTTTTTTGAGGTGATGCTTCGTTTTTGTGCTTTTGCTTTTGTGTGTTTTCCAAGCTGATTTTCTCCTTTTTGTTCTCAATTGTGCGTATATATTGCACCGTTGAGTTCAATAAAAATTTAGTTGCGAGTCAGCGCTCTGTTTGTGTCCTTCTTTACCCTGTCCGTTGTTTTTTGCGCTGTTTTAACCTTTTAAGTAAAATAGAGCTTTTGCGTTTTTATTATTGTTTTGAAAACGGTAGCATTATTTCTCCTTGTAGCATTTAAGGACGACCATTGCATCAGACCTTGAACAGAAATGACCTCTTATTCAAATAGTTGGCAAAAAGTAGAAGTTTTTTTTTTTTTTGCTATTGAGTTTTTTCTATTGAGGCGAAACCATTCTTATGCAAAACTTTAGACCATCGAAAGTTACATTATAGAAGCACAATTTGGGATCCCCAAAAAGGTTGTTGCGTTTGAGAGATGGAAGAAGATGAAAACAGGGGATTTATGTTTAGTATGCCTGTCCCACAAAATTTTTTTTTGTATTTATACGGGTTCGTTAACCTTAAAACATTCAATTAAATAAGTAGCCAAAGATTTATCTAACTAACGGCAAATATAAAGCCTGCCAAAAACATATAAGTAGAAAAAAAATATGAATTTTTTGCCCAAAAGAATTATTAATTGAAATAGACTACTACCTGACGTAGCGAACGTCACTAGGTTTCAAGAGTTTTGTTTCGTTCCATTGTGGAAAGGGTGAACTGCCTGTAATTCCTTTGAATGTTCCACGCTCGAAATGAATTGTTTCTAAAAGGGAGAGAATAAATAACCAACATACAAAATGCTGGTGTTATGAAAAATCTTGAACTGTTAGAATTATAGCAATGATTTGCGGTCTTCTTGACAAAAAGCGACGTTTAAATACACAAGTTCAAAACCCCACGTTTCACTGCAACAATCTGGATCTCGGCACTTGGATCAGATAAACCGATGGTTTTTTCTAATCAACACGGTTTTGAAAGAAACAGTATTGGAACGCCCAGCTCTTTGAATTTGTTCATGATTGGCATGTGATACTCACGCGAAAACTAAGACGGATATATTTTTGTTATTTTGCAAGGCATCTAATAGGGTACCTCATGAACGATTAAATTTAAACCTTTCTCCAATCCAAATTGACCCATCAATAGCAAATTGAACTTCGGCCTTCCTCACCGACATAGCTCAATCCATAATTACTAAAAGTGCAGTTTCCTCCCGGGTACACGTGACTTCTCGAGTACCCCAGGGGTGCGTCCACGGATCACTACTTTTTAGAGCGCAACTCTTAGGCGCCCGTTTCCGGCGTGAGCGGCGTCGGCGTAACTGGGAGGTCACGTGACCCCAGTGACGTCATGGGACCCCGTGAGGTCACGTCACTTGACCTCCGTGAGGTCACGAGTGTCGCGTGACGTCACGAGGGTCACGTGACCTCACGGTTACGCTGATGGCGACGGCGACGCCGCTCGGAGGGAAGAGGAGCAGGCAGGTGAGGAGGTGAGAAGGAGGGAGGAGCGGTATACCCTACCCTCAGTACTCTTTCCACCTGCTCCTCAAGAGCTACGCTCTGATTCGGCCTTACAGGGAGTTGTAAGCGGCTTTCATTTTTGTATTTATTATTAACCTGCAATCAAACATTCAGTCAACGATTAGACTCCTTGCTGACAATTGTGCGGTTTTGAGAGAAATTTTATTTCCAGCAAATACCTCATCTTTTTTTAAATCAGCTTAATAAAATCAGCGAATGGTGTGCTATTAAACTTGAGGAAGAAAACGAGAAAACGTTTTCTTCAAGTTTAATTATCCATACCAACCCGCTCGTTCTGTCCTTGGTGTGCTAAGTGGCCAATAAAAATCAACTCGAGTAAAGGCTGTGGATGACCAGTTACATATAAAAAAAACATAACCTTTCTGTTACTTCTTTTTTAACCAAGTAAATTCATATATAACATTATATAAGTTGTTAGGAGTTAATTTCACAAAGTGTGTACTGGAATGAAAGTGAATAAAGCATCCCGCAAGCTAGATTTGTTTATACTAAACATTAATTCCCCTATCCACGAAACTAAACTTCATTATTATAAGTCAATTATCCTTCCAAAACTCAAATATTCCAGCATGATATGGAATTTACACGAAAACAGTCTAGCCCTAAAATTAGAAGCTTTACAAAGCTAGGCCGCTTGTTTCATCTGCCGAGAGTACGCGTCCCTGACAAGTGTCCTATAGTTGAAAAAAAACCTGGATCAAACCTCTTTAGGAAATCGACGTAAGATTTCTCATTTATGCTTTTCCATCAAATTTACTCCAACGAATCGTTTTTTCGGACATCTGCTTGCCTACCTGAGCGGTTCATAGCTCCCTGGCTTGACCACACTTGCGAAGTTGAACCAATTAAATCACGTACTAACTTTTTCATGTTTTCCCCACAATCATTATATATATAGTATTAGAACAGCCTCGCCGCACACGTAGTGACTAAACCCGATCCTGTGTTATTTAAGAAAAGCAATTTAGATTGAATTAGTTAATTTCTTCTTCTAACGTCAATCACCAAAACTTGGCCATCATATTTCTTCTCTTACACTGTGCGTATCGTAGTATTGCTTGATCTATGGAGTATCTGTATATTCATTTTGAAGTTTCGGGTTTACTAGTATTTGGATGCACTACTAAAACGACACACTACTGAAAAAACAAGAAGCAAACAGTTTATACAAAAATTAGCCAGTGATCGCTGGTTAACTTTTGTATAAACTGTTCGCTTGTTTTTTGTCTTTATAGGTCACTATTGTCACCATTCCTTCCTTTTTTCTTCCCCCTCATGAAATGCCACATTGGATGCCTTTGAGGCAAATAAATGAAATAAAATAATATTTGGGCAATTATGTTATTTAATAAAGTTTGAAAAACGCCAAATGTACCAAGATAATACAATATCAACTTGACACAAATTGCTCTTGGAAGCTTCTTTTTTTACCTTGTAACTCTAGGCATTTCTAAACTCTAAATATTTCGAAATCAGTGAGCTTTTTGTACGTCCATAGGACACCGGACACCGGACCTAGTAAAGCGTTCTATTGGAATCTTTTTGTTTGGTCTCCTAAGCAAAACTATGTTCTAACAAAATTTAAAAAAAAAAAATCATAACTGCGCACAACGGCTTAAGCAATTTGATGAGTGAAGAAATTTTTTTTTGGAAATATCAGCAGCTGCGTGAGTACTGGAGTTTATACGTGTTCGGATTCTTACCGCACATGGAAAAAATTAGATTTACACCCCCCTCCCCCCCGGTCCTCGAAAAGAAAACAGAAAAAAAAAATCTGGATTTTGTAATTGCCTCTATTTTTTGGCAATCGTACCAAAACATTTTTTGATGGAAGAAAGCGAAATATTTTTAATTCTTTGCTGTGGCAAGTTCACTATGCACTCGGCTGATAAGCGTACTTCGAAATGGGGCTTGTGTGTGCGTGCGCGTTTAAGGACTCGTTCACACAGTTGCATTTGACCGCATTTGACCACGTTCGGACTGGTTGTGTCATGCTGTTGCTATGGCGACTCTTAGGACGAGTCAATGGGGAGGCGCTGCAACGCAGCGCAATTTTGAAAATCAGCGCGAATAACACACGGACAAGAAGGAGAAAACACACAGGACGAGTCGACGCAGCTGCGTCAATGAGCCTTAATTCTTGCCTTATCTCCCATTTCAGTGCTTCAAGCGGTTGCATGAACAATATCCAGAGAGTTTGAACAAGGTTGTGGGTGTGGAAGGTAAGCTCACAGACGAAAAATTGGGCTTGAAATCCAATGACTACAAACGCCTCGCTTCAGAGGTGTCCATTGTCTTTCACTGCGCGGCAACTCTCAGATTCAACGACACCTTGAGGTAGGTGAGCCGAGTCAATTTTCTTTTTAATAAGCGTGCAAGCCAACAACTCGCGTTCCTAGTATCTATAACGGCGGGTGAAAAGCGTCTTTGATTGGCGCGTTTAGAGTCCATTACAGGCATACATCGAAAGTCGTCCTGTAGGGCCAACAAATGACGTACCTGATGCCAACGTGTCTTATTGTCGGACGCCGCGATCCTGGCGGTTGCAGCAAGAAGTGTTTGGCGGAAAGTTGGAGCGAACGCGAGTGTCGCTGTCCTCGTAGAGTCTCACTTCGTGGCGTGTCACGCTCCCGTTGAATGCTAAGCTGAAGAGAATTTTGTAGCAAAACAGGCGTCTGCCGCGTCAACCACCGAAATCGTAACACCACAAGGCTCGCGGCCGGTGAAATCATGACACCTGTATTACGCCATCGGGCGAAATTCAAGGGACACGTTTTTAGAACGCGGTAAACATACCAGTCCGAGACGCGTCCCACGCCCCGTAGTATTATTATCTCACATAATCTTTTTTATTTAGGCAATAACGTTTTGTGTGAAATGCCGCGGAAAAGCACTTTAAGAAACAATTCTGAAGGTTGCACCACCTTAAAGGGCCTTTATGAAAGTTAATTTGCCGCACTTTCCAAAGGGACACGCTGCACCTCTGCTGAACACTAGCGCCTTGTATGGTGAACTCTGCCGGACGCTAGCGCCTTGTATAATGAACTCCGAAATCTGGAAAACCTGTCTTTTAGCTCCTTTTTGCTTCAAAATTCTTTTCTCTAGAGTAATAAAACCAATGAATAATCAATGATTGCATACTGTGGTCCATAACAACCATTGTTAAATGTCAGCGGGCGAAAAATATTTACCATTGGTCACCGCGATTTTTGAACTCCTCGTCCTGAATTGGGTCGTAATGCAGGAGAATGGGCTGTCATCTTTGAGGGTTGTAGCCCGGCCTTTCCCTCAACGCGCCGAAAGGTGGCGCGAAAAATGCATAAGGAATATTGCATTCCTTGATATATATTTATCCTTATTTCCAAAGGCTTTCTTATGACTGTGACGAGGCTCTCAAAAATTAAATTCGTGCTGATTCTACGAATGAGCGCATTGCTTTTCAGAAACGCTGTGAAGATCAACATGGAAGGCACAAAAAGTGTGCTGGAGCTCTGCAATAACTTGAAAAATGTGAAGGTGAGTTGAATTCGTGTAGTAGAAAAAAATATACTTTACGGTCCCGTAGAAATGGCTTGTCTGCATAATACGAAACGGCACATGTCAAGCTACGACACGGGCCGTTGTAATTAATATAATTGCTTGACCTATTTTCGGAGTACATCTAAATGGCATATTTTGTCAAAGTTGGTAGTTGAGTGATAATATTAATTGCAATATAATATTGATCACAAATATTGCGCAACCGAATGATTAGTGATGAATATTAAAATTTTGCTTTTGACTGAATCGCTACTTAAAGCAAATCGAGACTTGATAAATATAATCATGGTTCTGACTAATGCCATGAAGTGCATGAATAAACGCTACTTCTGTAAAATAAAGAATTCAAAAAAATATTTTCAATAACTTTACATATTCTCACAAATACATACACTGGTAAAGTGACAATACAAGGGTTTCAGTGTGACAAAGTAATGCGAAATCAAAAAACAATATCCGGCATCAACTGCGCCCACGCCGACTGTACAGCGGGATTTGAGCTAACGATTGTCTGACTATAAAAATGGCGGCCCACAGCTTCTTATATCCAGACCCTCCGATGACTGGAACAATTAAATGTTCAACGACAGCGATCGAGCCCTGCGTACCAACGCGTCATCAAGATATTTCTTCCGGCAGTTATAGGCACGTGAATTTTTCTTAGAGTATTTTTGGCAAAGCTACGCTTGCGGATAATTTTAAATCTAATTGTAAGCTCCGCGCGCGCGGTAGTAAAAAAAACAGTGGAGAAATTTGGATTTGTGCGAAAAAAAGCACGTAAAGCCTAATTCACCAAGATTGGCTAGCGCTTGTTTAGCGTCGCACTAATTATGTTGTATCCTTAAATAATCACGCGGCGAGTGTGATTCGCGGCTAATTAAATATTCGGTATTCACTGGCACTGCTCAGCGCCTTGTACAAATTAAAAAGCGACGAACAAACCTCAGTCAAAAGATAGGACCATCTCAGCCAGTGTTGAGTAGGTGGTTAGCGACTCAGATGCATGTGTTCAATAGCCTTCAGCGCACCACACCCTCCCCCCCCCCCCCCCCCCCCAACCCCCTCTGTAGCGCTAACAAAGCACTCAGTGTCTGGGAAAGCTAAAGAATGTATCTGGAAAGAATTTAGTGTAAAGCGTTAGATGTTATGGACAGATGTGCGACCGACTCCGACCATAGCTGAAAAAGGTTCTGTTCAATCTCGTGCCGCCGGACTTATGCCAGACACTACCGTCGTCGCTGTCTTCGTCAGCAATGCTGGGTTTATGAACCGACAAAGTAAGAGATAATATTGTAGAAATAGACATGCCTAAAAATAAGAGCTGGCGCAAAATCATTTTAGCAGGCCGTTAGACTACGCGAAACTCCATAATCTACGAGAGCTTTCATCGATGTCATCTCTGGAAAGGCGACTTTTTTATGTCGCTCCTGTGTATTTTAAGTGTTACTTGAAAAACCTGTTTTGTGACAACCAGGTTCTCGTTATAAGAATTTTTGGTAATTTATTTCTGAGTATTATTTTGAATACAAAACCTAATTTACACATTAGCGCTTCAGTACGTGCATTCCTGCCTTATCAATTTTACGTACCATCCTATTATATACTAGTCGATGTCACGAGATCTATAATATTTACGTAGTTGGTCCGCATGGCAACCGTCGAAACTCCGTCCAAAGTGATAACACGCCATGCGGACCAACTACGTAAACGGCCGCCAGACAACAACGAGGTCATCCCGGCTCCTCCACGGTCGTCACCAGGCCCATCAGCCAAGTCGAAGGTTCATGGCCAGTCCAGCCCACAACAACCACCTGAGACCTCGAGTGAAGTCTGTGAAAGCGCACAACAACGACACTCAACTCACGTGCGGAAGCGGGTACAGGGCTTTCATTGTTAAGGGGAAAGGAATGTTATATACTAGTCGATGTCACGAGATCTATATTATTTACGGAGTGAGTCCTCGCGACAGAAGGAGCCGCGTGAAAAAAAAAAAGAAGAGGAAGACTGCTGTGTTCTGAATCCGCTACACGTCTCCATATTGTCTCTTCGGCTCCGGAGTCTTGGTTTATAACACATCCGAAACTTATTCCTGTCGAGATAGTCACCCGTTTCTGTCAACCAAGCAAGAACACGTGCGTACCTTATTTTCTAGTTGCTTCTTTGTCAAACACTTTTCAATTAATTTGCGACAAGTTAAATTCGATACCTAATATAAATTATTCACAATAAGTCTAACCTGGTGGATACGGCTACCAGAATTCACATTTCTGTCAAGTTTATTGAGGCTCGATTCATATAACGGGATCCACCTATGATGGAAGCCGGCGGAGTAATGGTTATAGTATTTGCATAGGCGGCACTTCGCATTTAAAGTATTTGAGACGGCGAAGCTTATACTTCTATTTTCGCTGAAGCATTGCACTGTGGAAGCTCTGGAGTCTCTGATGTAGCAAGAAGCTATATGCGTAAATATACATATAAATATTAATTTAGTTATTTCTCGTGGGCACATCGTAACTTGTTCAATAAGCAAATCACCAGCGCTGCAAATAAACTATCATTTTTTTGTTTGGTTTTAGGCCGTTGTTCACGTGTCGGCAGCATTCGTAAACTGCGATCATGAAACATTGTAGGAACGACTATACCCTCCAACGATGAAGCCGGATGACATTATTACGTTAACAAAGTAAGGCTCTTATATGTCCTCTACAACAATGTTTATCAGTGAAATTATGGTAAATAGTAATTTCAGCTCTGTTCCGTCACGATGCCACACATTTTTGCAATTATCAATGTCTTTCTGCGTATGAGAAATTTGTTATATGCATCCAAGCACCTGTATTCTATAATATATTCTTAAAACAATACTGACCGCTCCTCTTTCGGATTTTCTAAGAAAATGTGCGCCGACGCCATTTCACTTTTAAACATATGTGGCGAGTCGTAAACTCCTATTGCAATAGTGTGTACTGTGGAAATTTAACGGCGAAATTGCAAATAAATCAATACTTTTTAAGTTTTTTTAAATGACATAAGCATACGATATTTGCTTAGTACAAAAGCGAATGTCGGAAGGTGTAATTTTTTTTACGGAATCTAGGGATGTTCAAAACTATATTGGAGCAGTACAAGTTAACAGTGAGAGCATTAATATTGTAACTGACACTTAGAAAACTTCTTAAGAACGAAGCAGAGTTATACTCTGATTCATAAAGTCCTTTATAGTATATGCTTTCGTGTCTCAAACTCAATTTTGCGATGTTATAATTCCTAAATTTATCGACAGATCACAATGAACGGTTCTAATAAACTGAAGAATATCGTCGATATCGAGTTAAGTATATTCAGCCATAAGTAAGCAGTTGCAGGAAGAAAAATTAAAGCCACATTCTTAGATTCATGTTTTTTTTGTATATGTTGAAATAGTGAAAAATGTCATAAATTTTATGATGCATTCATTTAAAATCATTTTTAAAATACCACGGTTTTGGGGTGTCGACTGTGCATCGCTTGCGGAACCGATTGCTTTGACAGGTTGTAAGGAAAGAACCAGTAGAAACGTCAGTAGCTTCGTTGTTTCACTACGACATATTTTTACAGCGTCAAAAAACACCAGGGTCCTTTGTCTAAAAGGTTGCTGCTGGCAATAATCATATAGAAGCAATAAACACCCTCTGCAGGAACACGTTAATGAGTGAAATTTAAGAGGTAACGATTT